GGGGGTGAGGATTTGGGGCACTAAGGAGAAGGAATGGGGATGAGGATGTGGGTTGACAGACGGAGGGGATGAAGGCAGCTTTGTGGGGCACTGTGGGGCAGGGATGGGGATGAAGATTTGGGACAGAATGGGACAGCAGTGTGTGATTCTTCTGTGCGAGGTGAAAGACAGGGCTGTGGGGTGCTGTGGGGCAGAATGGGGGCAGGGCTATGGGAGCGGGACAGCGCTGCGGCACCACGGGCTGGGGGCGTTTAGGGTATCCGCGGACAGGGACGGGACAGCGCTGCACGACACCTTCAGGCAGCCATAGGGTCAGGGCGATGGGATGCCGCGGTGCCTGGCCGCGGCAGCGCCGTGGGGCAGCGCTATGGGGCGCAGTGGGGCAGGAAGGCGGCACTCACCGCCGGATGGACGCGTAGTATTGGTCGATGAAGTCCCGCGCCAGAGCCAACAGCTCAGCACCGCTGCGGCCGCCCTCAGCGCCGGGCACGGGCAGCTGCTTGGGCAGCACCAGGGAGCCCAGGCAGCGGCGCGCCGAGCACGGAACCTCCTGCGGACATCCGTGGGGCTGGCATCGGTGGGGCACCCCGCACCCAGCCCTACGGGGCGCCCCACACCGCCCATCCCTGCCCCACCTGCTCGGCCTGGGCGCACAGCGTGTCGTAGGCGATGCTCCCGGTCTCCCAGTTCTTCAGGCGGGCGAAGCGCGTGGGCTCTGCGTGCCGGGGGGGCGCCGGGCTGCGGGGGGGGGGGGGAGCACTGAGATGGGGGGACACCTCCCCAGGGGGCTACGGCACTCGGGGGGAATCCGGCCCCCAGATCTCAGATCCCAAATCCCACAGGGGGGGCAGTGGGTGGGCAATGGGGGCTACGGGGTACTGCTGGGGGCAGTGGAGGGTCTCTCCCCTCAGTGCTCCCCTGCCCTCGGTGCTGCTGGGGGGCCCGGACCCCATAGCCGTGGGTGGGGGCCCGGCACAGGCTCAGGGTGGTGCCTCGGCCTCGTGCGTGCGTGCAAGCGTGAACAATAGCGTGAGTCAGAGCGGCCCCCCCCCCCGCCCGAAGGGGTTAAGCCATCCTGCCCCCCAGCCCCACAGCCCGTGCTGCCCCCTCCCCGCAATGAGGCCGTGTCCCCCATCCCGGTTCAGCCCCACACATTCCGTCCACCCCAATGGGTCCTGGTGGGGTCCAGAAGGCTGAAGTGGGGGCGGGGGGGGGGCACTGCTGTGCTCACCGTAGGGCTGGGACACCATCCTGGTGCTGAGTAACTGTAGGGAGGGGTGTAGGGTGGGGGCCACAGGGTGGGGGCCATAAGGATGGAGGCAGTAGGGAAGGGAACCTGTGGCTGCGCCCCACATCCTGCCCCCCCCAAACTGACACTGCACCTCACTGCAGACATGGCTCTGGTGGGGGTGGGCATCCATGGGGTGGGGGGGATCTATGCGGGGGGATCCACAGGGGTGGGGATCCGTACAGGCAGGGATCCATGGGGACGCGGATCCAGGGGGGTGGGGACCCATGGGGACGGGGCTCTGATGGGGCCACCTCTCCAGTGGGCACAAGGTTTTGGTAGAGATGGGGCTCTGTGGGGACAGGACTCCAACGGGGACAGAGTTCCAATGGGGACACAGCCCTGGTGGGGCCACAGCTCCACGGGGACGGGGTTTGGCGAGACGGGGCCCCACGGGGTCACATCTCGGTGGGCATGGGGCTCCTCTGGGATAGGGATCCGTGGGTCCCCGTGTCTGTGGGGGAGACACCTCTCCGATGGGCTCTGAGGGCGTCCCTCCTCACGTGGATCCACAGTGCGCCCTCCACCCGGACCCAAGGACCCCTCCGCCCGGGCGCCCGGCCGCCCCCCCCTTCACGGCACCCACCTGCCCTTATCGGGGCCGGACCCGTCCTCGGGCGCGGGGCTGAGCTGCCGGGAGCAGAGCCCGCAGGAGCGCGCGGCGCCGGGCAGCACGGCCGGTAGGTTCCCCATGGAGCTGCGGGAGCGGCCGCTTCCTCCGGAGCTGCGGGGGGAGTCGGGACCTCCGGCCGCCCCACGCGGGACGAGCGCTGGGGATGCGGGGACCTCCGGGAGCGGGGACGGAGCCTTCCGAGCGCGGCCGCCGCGGGGCCCGGCGGTGCTGCGGGCGGTGGTCCCGGTGCCCCCCGCGGGAGGACATCCGGAGGCCCCCCCCCCCCTGCGGGCCCCCACCCAGTTCCTGCCATTGACGCTGCCAGGCGGATCCCGGCCTCCCCCCGCAGCCTGCAGGGCATCGTGAGGCGACCCTGCGTGGGGAAGGGGTGAAGTTGGGGCTGGGGTTGCGGTCGGGTTTGGGTTCTGAGTTGGGGTTGGGGTTGAGATCAGGGTCAGGGGCAGCGCTGGGGTGCGGGTTGCAGTCAGGGTTGGGTTCTGAGTTCGTGTTGGGGTCAGGATCAGGATCTGAATCGAGGTCAGGGCTGAGGTTGTGTTTGTGTTGGATTTGGTGTTGGACTGGGATTGGAAGCGGGATTGGGATTGGGATTGGGATTGGGTTGGAGTCAAGTTCAGGATCAGGGCTGAGATTAGGGTTAAGGTCGGGTTAGGGATCAGGGTTGGGGTTGGAGTTGAGGATGGGGTCAGGCCTGGGGTTGGGGTCGGGGTTTGTGTTGGATTTGGTGTTGGAATTGTGCTGGGGTTGGCACTGGGCTGAAGCTGCAGTCAAGGTCAGTATTAGGGTTGGGTTGGGGTCTGGGTTGGGGTTGGATTAAAGGTTGGGTTTGGGAGGGATTGCAGTGGTACTGGGTTTGGAGTTAAGGTGAGGGTAGGGTTGGGGTTGGATTGTGTTTGAGGTCAGGGTTGGGGATTGGGGTTAGGGTTAGGGTTAGGGTTAGGGTTAGGGTTGGGGTCGGGGTTGGTTGGGGTTGGGTTGAGGTTGCAGTGGCACTGGGGTTGGAATCAAGGTGAGGGTTGGGGTTGGGTTGGAGGCCGGGGTTGGGGTTGGGGTTCAGTTTGGGGTTGGGTTGAGGTTGGAGTTAAGGTTGGGGTCAGCACTGGGTTTGGGGTCAGAGTTGAAGTTGGGGTATGGATTGAGTTAGGGGTTGGAGTTGGGATTGGGTTTAGGGCTGTATTTGGGGTTAAGGGTAGAGTTGGGTTTGGTGTTTGGGTTGTGTCGGGTATGGGGTGGAGGTTGGGCCTGGGAGGGATCTGCAGGTGCTTGCAGGGATGCTTTGTGCAGTGGGGGTCTACGGGGGCTGTGGGACCACCCAGCGGGGAGGGCTCTGCCGGGGCAGCGGGGGGGGGGGCCGCAGTGACGGGAAGCCGCGCCCGGCCTCGGCCCC